TAGTAGAGGGTTTTGAATTTTTTTTCAATTAGTAGGAAAGGTTTTTATTCTATATGAATGTAGGGGTCTTTTTAATATTAAATTAAAAGGGTTTTCATCAAAAATTAAAAATGTTGTCAATTTTAATCGAGCGTTGAACTTGTCCCTTTCTCTCCGAATGCTCACTCTCTTTAAGTGTACGGTAAAGCAACGTCGTGCTGGCACTAATAAACAACTCAAAATTTGTTTAAATAATGATTTATATAATCTCTGGATAGTTAAAGTTTCTTTCCTTTTATCTGTAACGTTTAATATTATAAACAATTTGTAAATTCACTTATTTTATTACCTTCAGTAAGGAATATCGACAGTAGTAGAGGGTTTCTAATTTTTTTTCAATTAGTAGGAAAGGTTTTTATTCTATATGAATGTAGGGGTCTTTTTAATATTAAATTAAAAGGGTTTTCATCAAAAATTGAAAATGTACGGTAAAACAACGTTGTGCTGGCATTAATAACCAACTCAGAATTTGCTTTAATAATCATTTATATCATTTCTGGACAAGCAAACGTATGGTTTTCGTATCTGTATTGTTTTAAATTATAAAAAACTTGTAAATCATTGTTTGGGAAACAATAGCATTCTGTATGGGTGTAGGATATTTGTAATATTAATTAAAAATGCGTTCATTGTACAATTACTTTACATTAAGTTTGTGTATTTAGCTAATCTATGAATTTTTTTTACAGTCAGCAATGATTACAAGCTTACTCCAGGACTATTTGGAAACCCCAGAGGCACCAACAATTTTGGGATACCTCAAGGAGAGGTAGTAATTATTTATAATTTTTTTATTGTTATTGTTTCTTTAGTTTACATTTTTTACTGCATTATTATTTACATTGTATGTTACTCTTTAACTAATTTATGTGTCTTTTTACAGAGTGTAAAGATTGCAACCCTATTTCAGGATAGTTTGGTCACCACTCATCAGTTGGTACACTACAGGGAGAGGTAGTATCTATTAGTTTTCTTAAGAACTTTTCATTATTTTCATACTGTTTTAGTTTATATTCTTTACTATATTATTTGTTTACAGTGTATTTCATTCTTTAACTAACTCAGGACTTTTTACAAACAATATGGATTACAAGCCTACATCAGGGACAACTTGGGAAACATCAAGAAAAGGTAATAACTATTTATTATCATAACAAAGGTTCTTATTTTTGTTTTCTCTCTTCTATTAGTTTACCTTCATTATAACATTACTATTTACATTGTAATTCATTATTTACTTAATTTATGACTCTTTTTGCAGACAACAGGGATTGCAAGCCTACTTCAGGGACAACTTGAGATACATCTGGGANAATCAATTATTCTGCAATATGAAAAATATATATCCTATCAAATTTTATAGCTTTTTTTATCTGTCATTAACGACTACATAGGACGTTCGACAAATTTTCTCGGACCTTTCTTTTGGTTCGCGAGGAAAAAAAGGTTGGGAAACACTGGTCTAGATGAACATAAATATTACAGTGTGAGTCAGCAAATAAATTTTCTGATTTTAATAAAATAATCTATAAGGTGCCTAAGCAGTCGATGAAAATAATTATGATTTCATAACTTAAACTCTGTTAATGTAAATGATTCTTTTTATTTTTTACTTTGTTTTGTATATTTGTCTAATCTGGCTATTTTTACGTTGTTTACTGTACATTACGATTTTTTATACGATTTCCGATAATAATTTTTATAGTTAATTATCTTTTACCCGCGGCTTCGCTCGCGTTCATGTTGTAAATGCCTATCAAAGATCATCGACGCTCACTTAAAACTAATTTTTTCTATCCCTCGGGAACAGTATTTTTTCTTAGATAAAAAGTACCTTATGTCCTTTTCTGAATCCCTGACAATGTGTGTACAAAATTGGAGTAGTTAAGGGCGTGAAATGAAAATAAACAAACTCATTTTCACTCATAGGATAATGCGGATAAAAAATTTTTGTTGGCTTTAATTAAATTTTCCGTTTTAAGGAAGATGAGGGCATAAAAAACGTAATAAAGTAATAATCGTCAAAAAGATGCTGCTTCTTAATCAAAAATAGTGTTTGTGTAAAAAGAATAATAATATTTTAATTTTGCATATAATAACGATAAGAACATATAACACCATGCAATGTTATGATTAGCCTTCTGTCCATTTAGAAAGTAACAATTTTTTATTTGGTAGGTAATTTTGCAATTTATTTCTACATTTTTAAATAGCGTTGTATTTTATTATAGTTATAATAGATGCTCGGTAAGTGATATCTGTTTGTCCTAATCTCATTAGTGGCCTGTTTTTATAATCGTATCATTTGGTCACCTTGCCTATCTGCCTCGTATCTATTTGTGTCTGAAGGTGATTCATTTTGAATAGAATACTGAATTCCTTAAGAATAAAGAGTAGGTATTAATTTAAATTTTTTTTTATGAATTAAACGATAAAATATTATAGAAATTCGTATATAGGTACCTACAATTGGTACATATTCTCAAACCTATTCTTTTGCTACATGGATTGTAGAATAACAATCATATCACAGCTATTACTGTTTTTATTAAGAGGCTCTAATGAGAGCTATTTGAATTAAAAAAATAGTTAATATTTATGATTATTATATTGTGATATTTAAAATTCGACTCTGTGCCCATTGTATTAAAAAAAAAAAACGGGAATTTGTATAGTTATATGGTGAGCGGTTTTGAAACTTCTTTTCTTTCAGCACATTCCCGAAAAACGCGGGGTATTATTTTGTTTATATTAAAATGAGCTTTCGTCTGAAATTAAGAATATTATATATT